TATGCATATATGTGTTTCATTAACTTAGAGTCTTAAATTATTTTAAGCGTTATTATTTATCACATTGCTTTACAAAAGAATTTTAAAAGGCACGGAAATTCGAATCATAATTTTGAGACTATGAGATTGATACAAAATCATTCTGTCAAACTTCATTGACATATACATGTTTAGAAATCGTTCATGAAAATATGTAAATATTAAAATTTGATTAAGATTAATGACACATTCATTCAAATTGACAGGGTTAACGCCTTTTTCTGCATTATTTACATAAATTAAATGTGTAATAAGAGCACATGCAGGCGGGAGTACGGTGGAGACCGTGAATGGGACAAAGATAGATATCCCCCCCGGCCTCCAGCGTCCCTCGCCCCCCAAAGAACTTACATCGCAACGCCTCTAGTGGCCTTTACAAGAACTACAAAATTTCATCACTAAGCGACCTACCCCCACCATCGAAAATTAGAGGCAGTCGGGAGACCTGTATACAAGACCGTGGTCTAATCTGTTGTTTATTATTCAGTCACTGATGCCAAATTACCATGGCAAGTTACACGATTGAGCAGCGCGTCGAAATGATAAAACTTTATTATCAAAATGAGTGTTCGCTAGTGCAAACGTTGCGCGCGTTGCGCCAATTTTACTGCAGATACGGTGGCCCTTCAAAGTTGACTCTCCAACGTTTGGTGGCCAAATTCGAGACGACCGGTTCGGTAAACAATCAGCCAACACCCGTACGTCAAAGGAACGCCAGATCGGCCAACATTCCCGCGGTCCGTGAAAGTGTGCAGAAGAACTCGAGGCAGTCAATTCCTCGCCGTGCACAAGAACTCGGCCTTTCGAAGACTTCAACTTGGCGAATTTTGCGTCGGGACGTGGGCCTACACCCGTACAAGATCCAACTGACCCAGGAGCTCAAAGTTAATGATCATAAAGAACGCCGTTTGTTCGCTGACTGGGCTTCGGAGCGTTTGGAAGAGGACCCCAATTTTGGCCGAAAAATCATCTTTAGCGACGAGGCGCATTTTTGGATGAATGGCTATGTTAACAAGCACAATTGCCGTATATGGGACGACGCCAACCTACACGAGGTTCACCAGGTGGTAATGCATCCACAAAAAGTTACTGTTTGGTGCGGATTTTGGGCCGGCGGCGTCATTGGTCCGTACTTTTTTGAAAACGATGTTGGTGAGGCCATCACCGTGAACGGCGAGCGCTACAGAACGATGATAACCGCTTTCTTTTGGCCAAAATTGAACGATATGGAGGTAGACATGTGGTTCCAGCAGGACGGCGCTACATGCCACACAGCGGACGCCACGATGGACATTCTGCATGAAGGATTTGAGGGTATGGTTATCTCTCGCAGAGGTGACGTGAATTGGCCACCAAGATCATGCGAGTTGACCCCGCTAAACTATTTCTTGTGGGGTTTCCTGAAGTCGCAGGTTTATGCCAATAAGCTGCAATTGACCGATGCCCTTAAAGTCAACACAACCAATGCCATCGCTCAAATTCAGCTGGATCTATGCGGCAGAGTCATTAAAAATTGGAGCCCTCGGATCCGTGCCACCGTGAGAAGCCGCGGCGGACATTTGAACGATGTCACATTCCATGCATAAGGCATACATGGGCCTTTCAAATAAAAAAAGAATTTCGTTAATACCTCACACACAGCTTGTTTTATTCCATTTCAACATCGACCCGCCCTTATTGAAAAACCCTGATGTCGATTCTTGTAAACGATCAGACAAATTGTTTAGAAAGCAGCAACAAAAAGAATATCACATTGGCTTTTCACCGTTATTACGAATACAACCATCAATCGATATGATTTATACTTTCCCTTTGGATTATATGCATTTGTGCTGTTTGGGAATCACTAAAAAGTTTTAAATTATGGGCTTACTATTTAACAAGAGTGCTGTAAAATTAACGTCGAATCTTCAACGAAAATTGTTGGAACGTATAACGTATTTAAAATCATATGTGCATGCAGAATTCCAGCGGAAACCTCGGGTTCTTTTTCCAAATATGAAAGCGTCAGAACTTCGATTTTTAGCTTTATACGCAGGTCCTATTATCTTCAAACAAATTTTAAGTTTTGAAATGTATAATCTTTTTTTACTTTTTCATGTGGCTTTTCGAATCTTATGCACAAAAAATTTTGCACGAAAATACAATAAAAGTGCTCAATCTTGTTTGAAAACATTTTTTCTACAGTTACCAAAATTTTATGGTGAAAGATCTCAGGTTTTAAATGCACACTATCTTTTACATATAGCTGGTGACGTTAAAATAAAAACCAAGTATAAGCTCCAACGACCGAATATATTTTGTTACTCTATCTTTTTTGCATCTCTACAAAAATATCCTCACTACAAAACTATCTTCTCTACAAAAGTAATGATATCATCAAATAGCGCCAATTATACTAAATAGTTTTAAACGTGGTGAGGCGATGATTGGAGTGGGGGCATGCCCGCCGGCTGGGCGCCCGCGGACGCCCGTTGCCCGTTGGAGTGGGAGCATGCCCGCCGGCTGGGCGCCCGCGGACGCCCGTTGCCCGTTGGAGTGGGGGCATGCCCGCCGACTGGGCGCCCGCGGACGCCCGTTGCCCGTTGGAGTG